TAGTAGAGACGGGGTTTCACCGTGTTGACCAGGATGGTCTCGATCTCTTGAGCTTGTGATCCACCCACCTCGGCCTCCCAAAGTGCTGGGATTACAGGCTTGAGCCACCGCGCCCTGCCCTGTAGAATGTTTTTTAGTAATTAATTCTTTGCATAAAAGAGTTTCAGAAGCCCTTTTACCAAAATATATTTAGAATTTGTTCACTTAGAAAAGAATTTCTTTAAGACGTTTCATCTTATTCCAAACTTTCCAAATTCTTGAGTTGAGCTGTATCCTTCACTCTAAATTAGTGGTAATTCCAGCAATTTAGTGGCATAAAATATTGTTGCCCTCACCTGAAAGTCTAATTGCCACCACCAGTTTTTGATTCAGTAGTACCAGGTAGTAGAATTGAAAACCCCACACGCAGGGCTGAGCACAGTGGCTCACGCCTGTAATCCCAGCACTTTGGGAGACTGAGGCAGGCAGATCACCTGAGGTTGGGAGTTTGAAACCAGGCTCACTAACATGCTGAAAGTTTCTCTTTACCAAAAATACAAAATTAGCCAGGCATGGTGGTGCACGCCTGTAATCCCAGGTACTCTGGAAGCTGAGGCAGGAGAATTGCTTGAACCCGGGAGGCAGAGGTTGTGGTGATCTGAGATTGTTCCTTTGTACTCCAACCTGGGTAACTAGAGCGAAACTTTGTCTCAAAAAAAAAAAACACCTAGAAGTTGAAAGTATTTTATTAATTAGTATTTTGATATTATATGCAGAATATTTTCTCACATCCTCTCTGAGCACATTACTAGCTTGTAAGTGGAGAATATGAGCCAGATTCATGTTATTTATTTTTAATAAAACAGGTATTGCTGTTTCTAAGCCAGACCTGATCACCTGGCTGGAGCAAGGAAAAAAACCTTTGACTGTGAAGGGACATGAGATGATTGCCACACCCCCAGGTAGGTGCAAGTGAAAATGAATACAACAGAGGACACACGATAAGACATCCCAAGGTCAAAGAGAAAGCCAGCCCTTAAAATGTGATGTGGGAAGCTGTGTGCCAAAGAAAACACTTCTGGGCAGCTAATTTTTTTTTTTTTTTTTTTTTTTTTTAATTTTGCTCTCACAAAGGGACATGTTCTGTCTAGGCTTTTCAATTCTCTAAAGATTCTGCTTTTCTTTTGGTGAGCTTCCTTCAAGGTTACAGTGAGAACGAAAGTCCTCTTTGTGGCGTGTAAGAGACTGCACAGTCTGGCTGCTGTTTTATTGTTTTGGGGACACCTAAATATCTGCATGATTTTTAGAAACTAAAACTATTTTTTAAGTTCTTGTTTTGCGTCGTGTCTGAAATGCGTGAGAGGAGTAGTTTCTGTTGCATTTTTTGTTCATTGTTTTGTGTAGTCCATTCTGTTTTTATTACTCTATAGTGTTGAAATATGGTTTGAAATGATAAGTATTTTATCCTGCTTTGTACTTTTTCCTCAAGATTGCTTTGGCTATTCAAAGTTTATTTTAGTTTCATGTAAATTTTAGAATTATATATTTCATTTCTATGAAAAAAATACCACTGCAGTTTTCATAGGAAGTTTGTTGAATATATAGTAGATCACTTTGAATAATATGGCGAGTTAATAATATGCATTCTTCTATCCATAGACACCAACTATTTTAAAATTGATTTGGATCCTGATCATCTCTAATTTTTTCATTGATTTATATTGTAAAATTTTTTTTTTTTTTTTGAGATGGAGTTTCACTCTTGTTACCCAGGCTAGAGGGCAATGGTGCGATCTCGGCTCACCGCAACCTCCACCTCCTGGGTTCAAGCAATTCTCCTGCCTCAGCCTCCTGAGTAGCTGGGATTACAGGCACGCACCACCATGCCCAGCTAATTTTTTGTATTTTTTTTAGTAGAGACGGGGTTTCACCATGTTGACCAGGATGGTCTCGATCTCTTGACCTCGTGATCCACCCGCCTCGGCTTCCCAAAGTGCTGGGATTACAGGCTTGAGCCACCGCGCCCGGCCAATATACTTT